TCTGGATTTTTGAGGCCCGGAACCGGCCCGGGTAGCTACCGCGTCCGGTTCGGGTCGGGCCTCGGGTTGGCTACCTATTTTTATTTTCTAATTACTTCCTACCCCCCCCCCCCCCGCCCCACACACACACACCCCAAACCCATCCAAAACACCCGCCCCAACCCATTTACCTTTTAAGGATTTGGGGAAAAAATTGGCCCGAACCAGACCCGGCCCGACCGGTTCATGCTTTTGAGACCCAGAGCCCGCATCGAAATAGTACCGGGCCAGGTGGCCCGAACCGGATACGGACCCAGATACCGAGCCGGGCCGGGCCGAAACAGTACTGGGCCGGTTACGGGCCGGTTGACCCGGCCCGAGTCCATCCCTAAGGACTACTATGTTATTATTCCAGAAATAGAACTAACATGACAGTATTTATTGTCATCTTGTAGGCGTTACTGCCAAATAGTTGCAATAACATAATAGTATTAATTATAATTAATGATAGTATTTTTCAATTATGGCAATATTTTTCATACATGGTAGTAACAACTCCTACTTCGGGAAGAAAAACATAGTAGTCCAGTTTTGAAATTCCAAACTTCATTTACTCCTATTTTGGGTAGGGATTGACCAAACCGGGCCGGGCCGGCTCGCTAATGTGCGGGCCCGGGCCGGCCCGAGTAACTAATGGGCGGTTCGGGCTTTGACCCATCCCGGGGGGGTAGGGCGGTTCGGGCACGGTTCAGGAAAATGGTGGCCCGGCCCGACCGGTTCGGGCCCGATCCGGGCCTAACAGCTATATTTTTTTAAAAAAAAAAATCTTTGGCCAGCCAAACATGCCTTATAGCCATTCTAATTCAACCCAAACGGCTCTATAGCCGTTGGGAGCCTTCCAGGGGGTCCCGGGATGGGGGTGGGAGTGGGGGTGGGGTGGAGGTGGGGTACAAAAAATCTATAAATAATCTATTTTTTTTATACAATTTACTACACATATTCTCCAAATATTCCTACTCTCTAATCTCTATTCTCTACTAATCTTCTCCATCTTCATCTTCTCAAATTTATAACTACATATATTATATTTATAAAATTTATTATCTACTTATTATCTACTTATATTAATATCTAATTATTATATTATTGTTACTTATATTTATTTACTCATATTTACATATTACATATATAATTATCTCTAATTTATTAATCTCCTATCATAGTAGTTAATTGTTACATTTATTATTCTCCTATAGAACTAGTTAATTGAGTACAATTTTTAAAATCTCCTATCATAGTAGTTAATTGTTACATTTATTATTCTCCTATAAAACTAGTTAATTGTTACATTTCTTATTCTTCTATAAAACTAGTTAATTGTTACATTTATTATTCTCCTATAAAACTAGTTAATTGTTAAACTTGTTAAATAAAGTTGTTACATTTTAAAACAAATAGTTCGAATTTTTACATTGCATTATTATTTAATTGTAGTTAAGTTTATTACATTGTAGTTGCATAGTTCGAATTTAATTGTATTTCGAATTGGTAGATTTGTATTTCAAATTCACAAGTTTAATTGTACTTCGAATTTAATATTTGTTATATTTTTAAGATGGAACATGCTAGAGCTTCTGTAGATATGGGTAACCTCCGCCGCAACCGAACAAAGGAGATTGCGAGGAATCATCCAAGGTCACGCAAAGGTAAGGGAGGGGCTGGGTCTTCATCTCAAACCCGAGATGATTTTGATGCGGATTACAACCAAAGATATGGGGATGCGATGTCCGATGAGCAACTAGAACAACTATTGCAACAAAATCAAGGAGATTTTTTTCATCAACAAGACATCCCGCAAAACATTGACGAAGAAGAGCTCGAGGATGATGATGCGGAGGAGAGGGATCCGCAAATGGTCGAGGACGAGGGTCATGGCACACAGGACGATGAGGAAGAGCAAGCGGAAGTGGCTATTTCTTCCCAAGCCGGTGAGAAACCCGAATATGTCTTTAAAGTCAATTTTACAAAAGTTAAAGATCTCGAAACCGAGATATGGTACGCCACTTGCAAGCATTGCAACAAAAAGTATAACTTGAGAATTTCTGGAGGGTACGGGAGCGCCACAAGGCATCTTAAGGCCAAGCACCCGGCGGAATATGCGAAATCGGACAAAGGCAAGGGAAAGCAAACACAAAATTCAAGGTTTGTAACTGGCCAACCCTTTGATAATTTCTCCTATGATGATCATAGACATTTGACTGGTATGCCTCATTTAATTGTTGAAGAAAATTTGTCTTTTATTTTTTCTGAAAGTCTTGCTTTAAAAGAATATGATCAAGGTTCTTTAAATCCTCAATTTCGAAACTATAGTTGGAAAACAATTAAAAAAGAAGTTACAAGGCAATATGTTTTGGAAAAGCAAAAATTACAAACATTTTTCGCAAACTTTGATGGACGTGTTAGTATATGTAGTGATATATGGGAGGATACTCATCATCATTTATATTATTTGGGCTTGACTGCACATTATATTGATGATGATTGGTGTATGCATAAACGTGTTCTTGCTTTTCGTGAATTTAATGATCGACACATCGGTGATAATATTTATATTCTCATTGAGCGTAATTTAAATGAGTATAATTTGATTAATAAGATGTTTGCTATTGGTTTTGATAATGCTACTAATAATACTGCTGCTATTCCTAGATTGCGTGAATTGTGTGGTTCATCTTCTTTGATGGGTAGGTTTTTTCATCAACGTTGTGCATGTCATATTTTAAATTTATGTGTAAAGGACGGGCTAACGGCGTTGGGAGATGCTATGGAGGTGGTGAAGGGGGGATTAAACTTATTTGGGCTAGTAATCAACTTAAGATGCAATGGAGAAATTATTTGAAAGAAAGACGTGTCAAATATTGTGCTTTTCCTAAAGATTTGTCTATTTGTTCGAATAGTACTTATAACTTAATTAAGGTGCTTATTATATTTAAAAACCATTTTCCTGCTTTTTTAAAAGAATATGCTAACTATATTATAAACCCGGCCGACATCAACACTTGTGAAAAAGTTGTGAATGTTTTGGTGTATTTTAATAATGCAACTCAAACTTTTAGTCATGTTTATAAAGCTACCGCAAACCAATTTTTTGTTGAAGTTGTTAATCTCGCCGGCGCTTTTTGTGAATTTGCTGATGCCGCATACGTTAGTTATTTTTGTGACTTCATGAAACAAAAGTTTTTAAAATATTATTCATATATTTCGCATATATATAGTATTGCATTTATTCTTGATCCTCGTTTTAGACTTGCTTCTTTGGAGCAATGTTTAGATTACTATTATGCTTCTTTTTTTGGTCCATTGCCTATGATGAGAAGGTCATAGACCCTAAACAACAATTCCAAGAGGTTAGTAATTTATTATATCAATTATTTAATGAGTTTCATGCACAATATGGTAACGCACCCCTCCCCCGCCATGAACATCTTCTTCATCTAAAGAAAAATCAATTTTGAAATCTGCATTTGGCAATCTTATGAAAAAAAGTAAATCAACTCCGGTTAATGAATAAAGCTCGATCAACAAGCTTTCTTTGTATCTAACATTTCCCGTTGAGTATGAAGAAGAGAATGACTTTGACGTTCTTCGGTGGTGGAATGAAAAAGAGAGAACGTTCCCGATCTTATCAAAGATGGCTAAGCAAGTGCTAGCAATGCCGGTATCAACAGTTGCTGTGGAACAAAAGTTTAGTGCGACCGACAACGTCCTAACAGATTATAGAACGAGATTGAACGCAAACTCTCTTGAGACGCTTGTTTGCTTCCACGATTGGTTGAAGGCCAAACGTGGAACTCAAGAAATTAGCATTGAACACTCCCGCCACTTTATGGAAGAAACAATCGAAAATGACGAGAATTCCAATTGATTCTTATTTATTAAAAAGTGTATTTCATCTTAATTTAATATTTAAACAAGAAAAAAATTAAATAGCCCGGGCCCGGACCGAACCGGCCCACTACCTGCCGGATAAGCCCGACCCGAACCAGACCCGATATCACCCCTGGCCGGTTCGGGGCCCATGTTTCTACAGACAAGCCCACCCGGGTCCAGAACCAGAAGCGGACCAGGTCCATCCCTAATTTTGGGTAATTTCCCTAAAAATATTAAGATTTTATATAAAAATAATACTCCCTCCGTCCCTTTTTATTTAACCAAATTTGACCTTTCAAGCCAAATAAGTTAAACTTTGAATGATTATATATTTATACACGATAATATTGATAATATGAAAATGATATGATGTTCCTTGTTAAAAATATCATCATAAAAGTATAAATTTATTAAATTTCATATAAATATATTAGTTAAAATGATGGATCAAAATTTATTATCTTTGACTGAAAAAGTAAAAGTAGAGTTGGACTCGGGTCGGGCCACCCAGCCCGTGGACCGGCCCGCTACTGTGCGGGACCGGAGCCGGCCCGCTACTGTGCGAGACCGGGACCGGCCCGGTTCTCAGTCCAGGTCAGGCCTAGGCCCGGTGGGTAGTGCAGGTCCAGGCTCGGGTCTCACATTTGGCGAACCAGCCCAGCCCGGCCAGGTCGGGCCAGGGTCCGGCCCAAATTGATTTTTTTTTTCATTTTTGGGGGTTCCACCCGGTTTGGGTTGATGGTTAGGAGGGGTTTGGGGGGGTTTAGGAGGGTGGGGGTGAGGGGGGGATTAGGAAAGCAAAAAAAAACGGAGGCCCGGCCCGGACCCAGACCGGACCCGGTGGCTACCCGGGCCAGTCCCGGGTCCACCATTCCTGAACCGCCGGCCCGCCCGGACCCGGCCCGGACCCGAGTCCAACCCTAAGTAAAAGATGCTAAATAAAAAGGAATGGAGTAGTAAAAAAGAAGCCTTTTACATTAGAAAACCCCACTTTAAAAAAAAAAGAATAAAACACATTTATTATTATATTCCGTTGAGTTTATGTGAAGACCAAATTCGTGTTTTGTAAAATACAGCTAAATGATGGATGTTATTCGTTTACTTATCAGTTATCATATCCTGTATCGTGTGGTAATTTCAACGGTTTAACATTGGAGTGGTGTATGTTCAAAACTTCAAACCAGCGATAAGAGTTGTCATGAACTACAGAGGGGGAGTTATAAATGCAGCCGCAAGACACAAGAAATGACCGATCTTCCCGGCTTTATTTGGGAAGGTCGTGGCAATAAATGAACACTCAAGCCTGTCAAACTAAGGGCATTATGGAAGTATAAATCCCCACTACTACTACATGGATCTGCAATACAAAAATAACAACAGACCCTTTTACACATTTAAAAAAACAAGGCTTCCATTGAATATAGTACAAGAAAAAAGGTGTTGTAAAGCGAATTTCTTTCCCACCAAATTCAAACTAACCCAAACAATCACAATCAAGACGTGAAAAATGTCCAAAGCTTTTTACCTATGGAGGCCTGACCAGGACCATCTGATTCATCACTGTCACTGTCAACGTCTCCTTCAGGATGCGATGTGCTATCATACTCATCTTCCTCATTGAATTCTGGGGTGCCATTTACCTCCTCACTCGAGTTTGTTTTGTCAACCAATGTCACCATATTGGCTTTGCCACTTCCAGGAATTTTCAACTAATGAAGAAAGAAAACACATTGGAGATACAGTTGGGGAACGATTAGAATGAAAGCCAGATAGTCAGAAACATACAGAGGAAATTACTTTTGTGGCCCTGCTGGAGGATACAGTTCTTGTTTCAGTAACTTTAGTACTGTCAGCTTGAATCAGAGTAGTTTGATGCCCATTCTGGTCAGCGATCTTGCTTACTACTCGAGCAGGAGGCACTTCCGTGTTTCCTGTTGCGACTTCATGGTTGCCATTGTTGTGCTCATTTGTATCTGAAGTTTGCCAACTATGATCTATTGCACTAACTGAAGCTTTGCCAACTGTTGTACCTGGGCTGATTTTTGAAACATCATAATTTAGTTTCATAAACAAACCTCATTTTCATACGAAGTAAAGCAGGTTGGCTCAAAATCTGGGAATACTTTCTTCATAAGCAGGTATTACTTGTCATGTGGTGTTTTCTAATTCACCCGCCCACTTTCATAAAAAATCATGTTCAACCAATGGTGCTGAACATAAATGTCCATAATGGCAACCAATACATCGACATCGCAACCATGCTAGCCAATAAAAGGAGGGGAAAAAATTGGAGAAGAAAAAAGAAGATAATGCAGGCGGAAATTTACCAAATCAAAGGCATTATTTGAGAAAGAGAAGCAAATAGATCCAAACTCTAAAATACATTAAATAAATAATGCTAATCCAAAGATGAATGATTACGCACAAGGCTGCAATATTATTTACAAAGAAAAAACTGATCCTAATTCTTAATCCTGCAACAAATCATTGAAGAATACCTTATCTGCAAAGAAACAGGCTACCAAGTACCAGGAAGTATTTACTGTTGATTACTCCATAGTCTAATACTTTTGTGCTTCTAAATCTAAAAGAAAAGAAGCAAAACTATACTCTGTGCATATCATTGTAAGAAAACGTTACAAATTCCTTATATGCTCTTGCAACAGAGGAGCATAATAGACCTAACGCAGGAAAAGTACAACATTAAGTTTCACTATGACTTCATATAAAACTTAAGCATTATAGGTAAAATGTGACAGGATAAATATGCAAAGAAGATCCTATGTATTGAACACATGATGATTGCTATTACTGCATTAACAACTCACTAGAGAGCACAAACTTACTTCCTGTGTCTCAAATTGTAGCGCTTCCCCACTGGATTATTAGGTAAACTCGGAGTAGTCGTTTGACGCCTCTTCCTTCGACCACCCATTGTAATACTTTCAGAATGTCCCTCGCTGTCATCACCATCCTCTTCAGCCCAACTCAATTTAGAAGTCTGCCCACGGGTCCTTTTCCTGCGTGTTGTGGCAGTGCTAGAGTCAGCACGACTCAATTCAACCAAATCCTTTGAATGATTATCATCAACCGGTTGCGTTGATTCTGAATTATTACCGCCTAGAATCGCTTTAGCATCCTCAACCACCGCCTTCACAGAGTGGGTCCTGCGGATTCCATAATTAGGTTTTCTACCACGGGCACGTCGGACACTAATGTCAGATTGCTGCGACTCCTGAGGAACATCTTGTTTGTTGTTGTCTACATGGGTACTACTGGGCCCCTCTGAAACTCTGATTTCAGGGGCATATGAAGTTGACTCCAAATTTTGATTGTTTTTGTTAGGGGACAACTTGAAGATTTTTGTGCACTTGCGAAGCCAAGAAACCCGACCACCAGAGTCTGATAAGTTTTTCTCAGCTGCAGCTGGAGACTTTTCTACATATGAAGCAACCTTATGCAAAATTTCATCTCCCAGAGCGGAGAGAGAAGCCTCACTGTTCTCCATTTCCACCAAATTAACGTCAGAAAGTGTGAAATTGTGTGCTATTTCTCCACAACGTTCACAATTCTTTATCCTTTCAACTAATGTGAGAAATTGGCATCTCTCTTTTACGAAATGTTCTCGTTGACCCTTAAGTTTCTTGCTGACAACAGCAAGCTCATCAATGTCCCTGCGCATTTCAAGCTGATGCTCTTCCAATTTTTTCCTGTTAGCGAAGATTTCCTGTTTTTCTTTTTCTAACATAAGCCTTTCGGATTTCACTTCTTCCATTTCCTTATCTGCTGAGTCCTTCAAACTGCAGAGTTTGCTAAACTCTCTCGCTTTCTCCTCTTCAAATGCCTTCTTCTTTTCTTGCAAGACTCTCTCCATTTGCTCTTGCTTATTGTGCATATCAGTCTCGAGGTCTATTCTACGAGCTTCAAAACCATGAAGGAGTTGATTATAGTCATTTTCAGCTTTTTCAGATAACATTAACCTCTCTTGCTTCATCATTGCAGCAAATGATTCCTTCTCTGCTTTGATAGCTTCTAACTCTCTCTTTATGTAGTCCTCTGTGGTTGCCTTGTTGTTTCTTATTCGTTCATGCGTGTCACGCTGCAATTTTTCAAGCATCTCCTTCTCCTCCCTGATATTTTCCAATCCTTTAGCTATAGCAGCTCGTTTCTCATCTAGTGCTTCCCACTCATCTTCAAATTTCTTCTTGTCTCTCTTGAGCTCTTCACCTTCCTTCAAAAGCATTTCGTGTTCAACCCTACACTTTTCGATTGCCTGTTTTAGCTCAGCTTGCAGGCGAAGATGCTCTTCCCTCTCTGATTCAGTAATTCTGAGTTTTTCAACTTCTTCACAAATGTGCATTTCTTTTTCGCTGACAACACTCTTCATCTTTTCAAGTTCGTCTTTAAGGACCAGCAAACTCTCTCTATCAGATGATATATCCTTCTTTATCAGTTCCAACCTTTTCTCCTCAGACTTAACAGACTTCTCTTTCTCCTTCAACTCATTTGACTTAATCTCAGTGTCCTTCTCTCTATCTTTGACTCTTTCTGACTTCTTATCCAGTGCTTGTTCCTGTTTCTTGATTTTACCCTCCAAGTGATTGAGTTCTGCCTCCTTTTTCTGCAAATCATCCCTCTTTGATTTCATCTCCTCATCAAAAAGCTTTCTTTTTTCCTCCAGTTCCATCTCAAACTTCTGCATTTCAGCTTCTAGAGAATCTCGTTTTTTATCAATGAGCTTTTGGATCTCAACCTGTAAAGGTTTTTAAGCTTCAGTACATCAGTAGTCAATGTTTCATGTTCCAGGGAATTTACATTTTACAGCAGTTAAAATCATGATCAAACTAGTCTAAGTATGTTTGTTTCCAGATACTTAACTTGTTATGGAAAATATAAATATATTCCAAAGATAACGTTTCATGAAAAAAATTACTGTGAAGCCCCTCCATCCCACGAAACTTTGCCACCTCTCCTTATTTAGCTGTCCAAAAAACTTTCTCATTTCCATTAAAAGTAATAAAAATGAGGTTAAATTTATCTCTCATAAACACAAATCACTACACATTTTTTACTTTCTTATTCCAAGTGCAAGTCAATTTTGGCCATGTTTTGTGGGACGGATGGAGTATGATATAATGCTTTGGCCCACAAATACATCGAATATAAAACTGTTCAGGAAAATGAATATGAAGTGCCACTGTGCCAGTTTCCATAATGCTACAAAAGTCAAAAGAATAGAGGAATATGTTTTCTAAAAAATGTTTGACCTTAAAAAATGTCATTTTACACAAACATACTACCCTATGAACAAACAGAGCTTAAATTACTATGAACTTACTGCTTCTCTCCTGTTTAGATTCTCTGCTAGGGTATTCAACTCCTTCTCCTTCATCTCCAGATCTATTCTACAACTCTCTGCTTTCTGCGCCCAAATAAAGAAAAGAATAATCGAATTTGCTTCCATAACATCTTCACCATCCCTACTAATGAGATAATGCAGACCAATAAAAACTCACTTGCTCTTTACCGATTAGCTGCTCGAGTCTATTATTCACATCAACTTCTCTTTCTTTTATGGCCAATTTGGCTATATCTAGTTTCTTCTGTTCATCTTCAACTTTCTTTTCTTTCAGACTCAAAACCCTATCAAGTTCATTTGTCTTTTCTTCTCTCTCATTAAGGATCCTCCTACTGTCACACAGCTTCTGTTCCCTTTCTTGAAGTTTCCTCTCCCACTCTTGCAAATCGTGTTTGTGCTTGAAAAAAGTTACTTCATGTGCTTCTCGCCTAAAAAAATGGTACCAGGAAGGCAGGAATACAACATAATTCAATAAGTAGTTGCACTAGCCAGACGTCATCAGAGAGAAGATTATAAGAAACTATGAAACTCAACAACATAACTCAAATAGTTGCGCTAGACAGACGTCATCAGATACAAGAAGCTTTTGAAATTCAAAAAGGCTCTGTTGGTTTATAGGAGAATACTTTTCTCAAATATGTGTTTTGCTTTCCTGTGCTTATGTGTTGGTACAGGAAAACACATCGATCAAATGTTGGGCACCGGCTTCATTATTTACACTGATGGAACAGTTTTTTATTTCAATTTTGTAGGTCAAACATATTATTTCCAAAAGAAAATCCATTTTCCTGAAAACCATTAAAAGAAACACATTTTCCTCATATTTTTTCCCCTGTAAAGCATGGTCCACAACAGGTTATTTTCCTAAAACAAACAGAGCCTAAATATAGACAAATTCTTACTCTGCATTGAAGGATAAACGCTCTGTCCTAAGGACACTTTCACGGGCCTCAAGTTCGTGCAATTTCATGTCAAGCTCTAAATTCTTCCTACTTGCTTCTGCAAGCTTAGCATCAGCCATGTGCAACTTTTCTTGAACTTCAAGTGATCGATCCAGAAATCCGGCTTCTAGAGCACTGGCATCTGCAATTTTTGTTTCAGATGCAAGCTTGATCTGTTCATATTCTGTCTGCATTTCTCGTAAAGCCTTCTCAAGCTATAAAAGTTAAACATCAACTCTAGCATAAGAACGTCACTTAAGAAAACGCATCCATCCAGGAAATAAAATCAAACAAATACATTGTTGAAAGGCCAAAGAACTCTTTACCGATGCCAAAAGCAAATCTAGACATGAAAGAAACAACCCTAAAGTCATTATATGTTAAATATGGTCATTCTGAATCAATAAACCATTCAATAATTTTATTTATTTTCCATAGCCCAAAAACCCTAATTGAAATCATTTTAAATTCTAAATTCTCCTTCACTCTCATAAAAAGGTTTTCATTCTCTATTTCTACAGTCAACTTCACTCCCTTTTAATCTTTATGAGACTGAGGGAAAAAACAGTGAATTATCAAGTGGAAAGATATTGCCAAATAAGTTCACCCTCTTAGCCCAGAGAAAATTAAGGTGTAAACATGTGCCCGCCGAGGCGCCGACTGATACATTAATTATCAAGTATGTAGTTTTCAAAAACGAGAAAACATTACTTACATCAGCCACACACTGCTTCTCATATCCCAAAGCATTTCTCAACTTTTCTTCCCGCTTCTCAACTTCAGCTATTGCTATTAAATGTGATGTCTTCTCTCGTTTGACGATTTCCCGGGCTACTGCAAGTTCTTCTTCAAGTTCATTGTGCTTGGAAGTCCACTCCTTTTTTTCAATTAACAGCAGGCCCATATTGTATTGATAATCAAAAAGCTGGTCCAATATATAATCAAGGAGTAATTGCATAAGAGGCCAAAGTCCAAAAGTGAACCAAGAATGAAAGTGTGCATACAGTAACAACAGAAAAGGTTAATTTTCAAATGAACAAACAAACTAATAATGTCTAATATGATCCCTTAAATATCCAATTTAAAGGGGGGATTGCACCCAAAACTTTGTCTAGGAATATGGTTCAAGCTGTCAAAAGTCAAGTGCCCTCTGATTCCAGGATAGTAAACCAAAGTTTCAATATTCTACTACTTCCGTCCCAAAACTCTCTTCGTCTTTTCCTTTTCCATTCGTCCCATAATAAATTTCATTTTCCTCTTATGGTAAACAATTTGTAGTTCATAATATTTCTCTCTCTTTTGCGCAACTCTCAACCACACAACTTCCATCTTCTTAATCTACGAGAAAAGTCAAAATAGGAGGTAATATTGGGACAAAGGGGGTATTCTGGTTTTGGACGTTAAAAAATTAGGACATGATATATCTCCTCCCAAGATATGCCAGGAAGCCTTAATATGTTACTACCTAATACCTAATGTATTTAGATTCAATTGCTACTCAGAAACGTGGGTCTCACTAGTCACTTCTCTAAAAACAAAAATAAATAACAAAACAAGGAAATTTAATCCATAACCAATTCCATTTAAGTCTGGTCCACATAATTCCCAGTTTCCCAAGGGCTGAATGAATCAAAGATTCCTCGCCTTTGAGCAATAGATTATAACCTGATTACTTATGCACCTACTTCAAGGAACGGATTAGCCGCACCAGTATGTTTTTATTGTACTTTAAAGCAAAGCACAACATGTAGCAACAACGATAACACCAACAAAAATCAAATGTGAAAACTTTGTAAAAACCCTAACCTCTCTTTCGAGCCTTTCAGCCTTCTCAATCAAAGCTTCACGGTCTTGCCTCTCCATGGCCGCCTCATCAAGCAGCCCAGCCTCCTTAAACCTCCTCCAATCCTCCATGCTCTCTGTATCCCTCACTCCCCTCACCCCATTATCACTCAAAAGCGCCACTGGGGGCGGAGGAGGCGGAGGGCCGTCGACGAAGGCAACTGCCTTTCCTTTTCCTATAGTCGGAGGAGTCGGTGTCCTCGGTGGCCCACCAGTTTCAACCCGAGGGTTTATTGACAACGCCGGCCACGACTTCTTCTGTGGTGTAAACATCGGGACAAATGCAACTCAAAACTTGGTCAGATCTTAAAAACATGCAGAAATTGATGGAACCCTTGATGGAATTTGGGATTTTCTAGAGTACTGAAATAGCCAATCTTGATTTGGGCAAGTGCAGAATGGAAACTGGTGTCTGATTTCTTCGTACTTTGCTTAGAGCGTCGCTTGGCCAAGGGGGTTATCCAATCATTCTTCCGGTGGTTTTACTGCTTAATTTACGATACTGTCCTTTGTGCTTGTGCTCTCCGAAGCGCCTACACCAATTTTTTACCCTCCAACGGTAAATTTTGTACGAACTTATGGTTGTGAATATTTCTCATATACTCTGTACCATCTTCCTCGTCCATTCTTTAATTATCTTCCTCCATGTTTTTACTTTGGACTCTAATTTGCTGATCTGGTATGGTCTGTTCTGATCTGGTCTGGTCTGAACTGGTCTGGTCTGGTCTGGTTTATTTGTATTTTTATAACAATCCAAGTCTGGTCTGGTCTGGTCTGGTCTGAACTGGTCTGAACTGGTCTGGTCTGGTCTGGTCTGATCTGGTCTGGTCTGGGACGAATTACAGTCCAAGTAAAAACATCCCTGATTATCAACATACAAATTTGATTATAATTATGTATTAATAAACATTATAAAAAATTAATATTTTAGAAATTTACATTATTGAAAATTTAATAACATTTTATACAACCTATGTCCCTTAAAACTTTGCCAAAGTTGACCGGACCCGCACGGGTAGCTCAGTTGGTCGAGTGGTGGGAGATTTGGATCAATGGACCAAGGTTCGAATCCCGCAGCGACCGGGTGGAGGTCACAGAACCTGAAATAAGGTTGGGCCTCTGGTGCGCACGGGTGTATGGGTCTACTGTCATTCTACTGACTGAGTCATCATGACTAACCTCCTCACCATCCTGTCGGGTCGGGGTGGGGGAGCTCCTGGGGTGGGAGATTCCACCTTTTTGGATCAATTGCCAAAGTTGACCGGCACGGAGAATAATAAAGTAAAAACTGTGTGGTTGAGGTTTGTGCAGAGGAGAGAAAAATAACAGAAACCACAAAATAATTGATTAAAAGGGAAAGTGGAAAAGTTTTTTGGGACGTCCCAAAAAGGAAAGATGGCAGAGTTTTAAGGGACGGAGGGAGTATATAATATTTTGATTATATATATTAGTAGAAAATTGTAGTCAAAATAATTTGTGTGACTAGTACAAAAATTACAATGTTACAAGTTTTATGGAACGAAGAAGTAATTTTTTAAGTTTTGGATTGATTTGAATTGAAATGAATGTTTTGGGTTGATTTAATATTAATCTTTGTGATCTGACTTGAATCTTTTTATTTGAATCTTTTTCATCTGATTTAATCAAAAGTTTTCTAATCCGAACTAAACATTTCCGATCTAATATGAACATTTCTGAAGTGGTTGAATGTTTATTACTCCCTCCGGTCCTAAATAAAGTTCAGTGTTTGACTTCACACAAATTAAGGAAATAAAATTGACTTTACTGTAGAGTACACTGTTTTGCACTGTTTTGCACTATTTTGATGTAGATAATTTGCCAAATAAGGAAAGAGAAGAAGTGTGAACTTTATTTTGGACCGACCCAAAAATGAAAGTGTGAATTTTATTTAGGACCGGAGGGAGTATTGTTTTTGTTGTTGTTGTTATTGTTGTTACTGTTGTTATTATTATTATGTGGACGTTAATAATTAGTACTATTATTAATATTAATCAATTTCAATAGTCATTAACATTATAATTGATAGCGTATAAATTATGTACTTTACCCTATTGTAAATATGGTAGTGTGTATTCTATTTTTGGTAGCATATATTTTTCATTATTGTAACCATGTAATTACTTTGTATAAATAAAGGTTTCATCAACACGCTAAATAAAGCTCACATGGTATCAGCTTAATTCCCCTATTCTACCCGATCGTCTTAGTCGCAACCATGGCCGACTCCAACGGCGCCCTTCCCTACTCCACTCTTGTTCACATGATCACCATCAAGTTCACCCCCTCCAATTACCTTCTTTGGCGCAACTAGTTCCAAACCCCCTGGAATCTCAAGGCTTGTTCGGCTATATTGATGGATCCATTCTGTCTCCTTCTGTTTCTGATAAAAATAATCTTGCTGATGCAAAGCTCCTTGCGGCGTTGCAGACTCGGGACAAACGATAGGTCTCTCTTTTGTTATCCTCTCTCACTGAAGAATCCATGGTTGAAACTCTGAGTTGTACATCCTCTTCTCAGGTTTGGACGACTCTAGCTTCAGCTTTTAGCCAATCTTCTAAATCCCAAGAAATTCAATTACGGGATGAATTGTAGCAACTTCGTCAGGGATCTCGTTCTGTTACATACTACGGGAAAAAATTTCGCACCTACTGTGATCAATTTGCTGCAATTGGGTCTCCCGCCTCTTCTGTTGCTATTGTACATGTTGTTTTACTGATGCCACCCAATTGTGAAATTAAAGGAGGCTCTGATTGCATTCACTAATGTGTGGAAGCAAATTCATAGATTGCATTTAAACATGTGTGCATTCCAACTAAAATTTTACATGGCATTAAAACCTAGCATTTAAGCTTACAAATAAATGTACAGAGAGTACATGGAAGTACATTAGTACTAGTACTTCCATACCAATGTACAAACAAAATGCACAAAAAAGCATTGACACTTCAGTTTTGTAGAACAGAAAATTCAAAACTAAACCTATCATAATTGGTTCATCAATGTAACCTATGCCTATTCTTCATTCATGATCTGTCATGAGGATTGGCATGCAATGGTAATTGCCACTTGTCCATTATAGTATGCCCTAATTGTTTCATAAAGTTTTGCACTAATCTCGACATTTATTGGTAATAGCCCTTGCCTTTCCACCTTGTCTTTGCCTATGTGGTTCAATTTGAAATTGTTGCCTCCCTTGTCTTGCAGTACAACTTCCACCACACATTGAAAGCTTATAAAAACTTTGTTCAATGTGCTTACAGTGAGCTCATTGAAAGAAGTTTTCATAGCTTCAATTAAAGCTTTAATATTCTTTGGCCCCTTTTTATCTTTGATTGAATCAATGGCCCTAAAGAGTCCCAGCAAGTCCAGAACATTTAAGTCTGGACTATTTGGAGGCTGGCACTTCAGTTCAATCTTCCAACCATCCTGTGTCCCAATTCTAACAAAGTTAGGATCACTAACCCCTATATGGGGGCGTGCATTATCTTGTTGTATTATGACATGTTTGTTGTGTGAATATGGCCACTTATCTTTGATTGCTATGACAACTTTGTTTAGAATCAATTCTTTTATGACTGCTCTAGTCACACTTAAAATTGGTTTTGTATCTAAAGTACCAGCAGGTCTGTTTTTGCTTGACCTTTTAGTTGGCTCTTCAAATATGAATGGAGAGATGCCTACTTTTCCATCCCATAACACCTCCCCATTCTTTGTTATTCTCGGCCTACCAACAACTGCTAGAAACATAATTTTGGGAAAAACTTTTTTGATTGAGTTCTTTTGTATGCATCATCTTCTGTTGGGACAGTGTAGAAAGTAGTTGTTTCTTTTGAAAGGTAAAACCATTTTTCATCAATGTGTATGTAATCAAAGAAGTCATTAAAAGTAGGCCTTTTTGGTAAGGAATGTGGAGTTATATGACTCAAACAGTATTCTAACTTTTTCAACTTTCCAACATCTGTGAGGAGTGACTTGATAGCACTAGAATGCCTTTTGATTTCCTGTCATTTGTACCACCTACAGACTATAGAGGTTGAAAGTTTCATAGCATAGCCCAATGCTCTCATATTTTTTCTTTGATGCAATGGTATGTCTTTCATTTTCTGACTATCTAAGCCAAACTTTTTTCTGCCACAATTACCTTTCGAGTTGCTGTTCACGTTTATGGCTACACCTTCTTGCATCTGTTGTTTTGCTTTCTTCCACAACATGTGAATTGTTTCTCTGCTGACTTTGAACTCGTTGCCTATGTTACTAATAACGCCCCTCTGAAGTTTCCTTTCACTAGACATGCGTAACAACTTTGCTATTTTGCGCATTCTTTGTTGTTCTGTTAAATTAGGCCTGAGATGTTGTGACGTTTCTCCTTCTCCTTGACTTTGTGTGTGAAACGTGCTTGCAGGTGAAAGGGAGACGAGTTGACTGTCCGGTGGCTGTTTCTGGATGGGAGGGGAGCTCAGCTTCTTCCATTGATGGATATTTTTGTATCTTCTTTTCTTTGTAATGGACTTTATAGGAGTAGAATTGATGTAGTTTTGGAGGGATTTGTGAGGTTTACACAAATTTAGAACCATGTGAACTCGATTTGGGAGGGAAAACCGTATGTGGCCAATAAAGATCTAATGCCATGAACTGTAGCAGAAAGGATGGTTGTACAGTTCATGGCTTCATTCCTTTTGCTCCTGGCCGCACTTTTGTTGTTTGTTTTTACCGTAGAAGTGTTGAGTTATTACCCTTGCTTTAGTAAGGGCATTTAAGGAAAGTCAAGGACAAAAATCTTACTCCCTTAAAATGCCAAAAGTCAAGCTGTGACTTTCATTGCGAAACGGAGGGAGTACTATTTATACTACCAAGGGGTAGGTGGTGTTGATGACATGGAGGATTGTGGATGGTTAGCTTCCCAACCACCAGATCTACTTCATTAAATGTGCTTCCCGCCAGTATCTTGGTTTCCTGGCAAAGGTTTCGAACAAGCGTCCCACCCATCTTGGGCCCTGAGTTCTGTTAGGTGCAAGGACCCTGTTGGTATTAGAG